CAGGACCGTGTGCGGCAGACAGAAGAGTTTGAATATTCCCCTGCAGACAGAAGAGAAAGTGAAACCACTGGAACCCTGTAGAAAGGTTGGCCTGGCTGCACTTCATCAGAGGCTTGACGAAGCAAGAGCAGGAGGGGTATCTATTCGGAGACTGGGGCAAAAACCACGAGGCTATCCAGGAGAGGGAGCCTGACTGGGGCAGTGGTCCCAGGAGCTCTGCTGGGGGAAGCCCCGAGCCGCAGCTAGAGCGATGGCTTTACACCCCGCCTGCCTGCAGGAGGCCAAGCTGTACCACAGGCTCAGGAGTCAGACGGTTCTGGGCTCCATGCAGCTGTGCAACCTCAGGCATGTGACCACGCCTCTCTGATCCTTGTTACCTAGTCTGAAAAATGAGGATAATACTAATACCCACCTGGCAGGGACTCCCTCTGTGCAAATGAGAGAAGAGGCAGTACTGCCTGATGGGGAAGAACACTGTCGATGAACTCCGGAGCCCGGCCACCAAGGCTCCTTCTAGTTCCTTCTCAGTTCTTTCCCTTACTCAGTGAGTGACCCTGGGGAGGTTAGCCAACTTTTCTGGGCCTTGGTTTCCACATCTGTAAAATGGATTTAATAACAATAGCCACATCAAAGGATTCGGTTGAAGACTGAATGAATTCATACATGCAAAGGGCTTAGAACAAATAGTTCTTGGCGCACACAGTACATGCAGGAAGAAGATGATAGCTATTATTACATAAAGCCACATAGGGTGCTGTCTGGCACGCAGAAGGCTGAGACTCACTCAGCACACGCATGGCCCCTTCTCTGTGCTACATGCCTTTACTATGCGCCCAGCAAATTCAGAAGCCACAGCAGGCAGGGGTGGGACAGATCAAAGAGCAGTGGAGGGCGAGCTTGCATCGGTCTTCTTCCCACCCCCCTCAGGAGACACCCGCTCTCTTCAAAGCTCCCCCACACCCCCCACTCCTCACCGTCCTTGCTATGCACATTTGTTCTGGGCACCATTGTGATGGGGGGCCTGCCCGGAACCCTGTGTGTCTGGCTGGGGGTGGGGGACGGGGCTCTCAAGCGCAGAGATCCCGGTGTTGGCTCAGCCTGGGGGCCCCTCCTGCTGTGTGCACGCAGCTAAGAAATGTTTGTGGATGACAACAACCCCATTCTTGTCCCAGATCTAGACAGAGAAGGAAGATTCCTCTAATTCTCATTCAACTTGACAATATCATTTCCTCCCACACGAGTATAATGCTCTCAACACAGTAGGGGGAAGATAAATGGTTTTCCCTCCTGAGAAAAAGGAAAGACCCCCCCCTGGGAAAAGCACCGGAGACCCCACAGGAGACAGACTTCCCTGGGGCCTCTCCCTGGGCTTGCTCCTGCCCTCCCAGTGCCCTCAGCCCCTGTGGGCAGCATGGGGAGCGCGCTGACACCCCAGGGCCTGTGGGAGACAGCTGCGTGGTAGACCAGATGTTGCTCTGGCTGTCGAGAACACCAGGCCAGCCGTCTGGCTGCTGTCCCTAGTGTGGGCCAGCTTGTGGGTGGGCAGGGGGTGGGGGCAGAGGATGGAGAGTTCCCCCCACCAGCTTCAGCCCACCACCGCCTACAGCAAAGCCGGAGCTGGGCCCCTGCACACAGCGTTGGGAACACAGCTGGCTTCAGCCTGGAGCAGCTCAGCAGTGGCCACCCCCCGCCCCCCCCCGCTCCTCCCCAGCGTGTCTGTAAATCATCCAGGTGCCTGACCTGCAAGGGGGAGCCAGGCCAAGATCAACAAAGAAAGCAGGGCGCTTCTCTAGTCATCTGGCGGGGGGGTGGGGGAGCAATTTCAAGGAAAACGATCTAAGCATTGGTAGCGCCCAGCAGCTACTAAAAAAACAAACAAGCAAAGCCCTCCTGTCCAGAGGACCGGTGGCCAGAAGGAGGTCGGGCCTCATGTCGCTCCCTGCTGTACTAGAAAGGCCACACCCAGAGCACAGCAGAAGGCATACTGGCATCCGGGAACTTGTCCAGAAGAGACAGTGCGGGAGGATGTGGGAATCCTGGGGGGATGACATGGGTGGGGGTGGACATGACAGCTGCTATCAACTGCAGTAGAGGGAAAGTTCACAGGATCGGGAGTCTGCCTTATGGGTAGTGTGACTTCTGCTGTGTCACTTCACTTCTCTGAGCCCCCAGTTGCTTCAGCTGTAAAATGCGCACTGTGTACACAGACGCACAGGGTCGCTGGGAGGACTCAGTAAGTCCCTTGGCGGAGGAGGGGGGGCCTCAACAAGCCGGAGCTGGGCCCCGGCCCCTCTCTCCCCTCTTCCTCCACCAGAGGGAGCCTGGGGACCAGGAGCGCCCAGCCTGTACCAGCATCTACCTATCCTCCCCCAATGCTGCAGCCTCTGCTGCTAAACTCCCACCCTGCCTGCCCCAGCTTCCAGCGGCAGCCTTCTCACCCACTCTGCAAACCCAGAACAGGCCTGGCAGGGGAGTCACTTGCAGCAGCTGTGGTGGCGGCACTGGCTACTGCATCAACAGGCCCTCCTGACGCCTGGCCAGGAGGCAGAGTGGAAAGGAGGGAGGCACAGCCTTCTTCCCTCTCCTGTCAACTCCCTCACTCATCCCACTCAAATCTTCTAGATACCTAAGGGTCTCCTGGCCTCTCCCAGTTCCTGACCCAGCCAGGTTCTGAGGCCAAGAGATTCCTGTGGTTTGGAGAGCTCTTGTGGGAAAATAACAGGCGTCAAAGACAGGTGGGCTTGGGTTCTAGTCCCAGGTCCATTAGGAACTCGCAGCCTAACCTTGAGCAAGGTCTCTTCATCTTGGAGCCTCAGTTTCCTCATCTCTAAAATGGAGTTAGTAATGCTCACTGCCTGTTGTGAGGAGCAAAAGAGGAAATAATGGAGGTGCCCGTATTTAATATGTGGTTAGGAGAAATTCAAAGAACTATCCAACCCCCTTTATGAATTCAGTAGGAAATGTGAAGCCAGGAAATCCAATGAGAACTGGGAGGGATCAAGAGGTTGGTTGGCGTGGCCGGCAGAAGCACCGAGCTCAAGAGCAAACGGGCTGCCAGCCAGCCAAGAGCTTCAAACCTACGTCTGCAGGATGAAGAAACTGAACGTCAGAGAATCCTGGAACTGGGGGAGGCTCGGGTCATTTCATTGGGCTGTACACCTGATTCAAGAATTGTGCTTTCTCCAGCTCTCCTCGACCCCCAGCCCGCCCCCCCGCCCCCTCCCTAGAGGCAGTCTACTGCATCACCAGACAGCCAGGTTAGGAAGTTCTTCCTGATTTATCCCCAATTTTCCCATTGCTCCTGGTTCTGCTCCCTGGAGCCACACATAATGAGGCTGCCCCCTGTCACGGGCCTGATCACTCTAGCAAAGTCCGCAGCCAGGCTTGAGGAGCACAGTGCCTGCCCAGTGTACCCCTGCAGTCACCCTACCATGGCCCTGTCCTGAAAGAAGACCAAGACCGTGCTTGGTGGATCCAGACCCTTCCTCCATGTGGGGCCCCACACCACATGCAGCCAGTCCTCCAGAAGTGGCCTCCCAGCAGGAGAGCCCCTCTCCCTCGCCCCCACTGCTCTGGGACAGTCCCCAGCAAAACTGAGCTGAGGGTGCACTGCAGTGAAGCCCAGCCGGGCATTCGAGCTGCAGCTGCTGCTCCTGAGGCCCAGCCATCTCAACCCAGCACCCCAGTCTGCTGCCTCACCACGAGAGAGTTGCAGAGAGCTGTCTCCCGGCAGATTTCCTGAGGCAGAAGGCTTCCCCACCCCCCAGCCCAGCCTCCGAGAGACACTCCACTGGTTGTGGCACATGGTAGGACCAGCTGAGCGGTGAGAGGAGGGGGAAGGCTGTCCATTCGCTAGAGGACTTCAGACTTGCTCTGTAGTGTGGCTGGATTAGTCATAGAACCATCAAATTGAAGCTGGAGTGGCCCTTAAAGAGCATTCAAGGCAGACCTTGCCTTTGAAAAAGATATAAAGGAACCGATGGGCAGAGAGAGGAAGGTACTCAGTCAAGGTCACAAAGCCAATCTGCAGCAGAACTGGAGGGGGAACCCAGGTCTCCTAACTCCCAGCTCAGTGTTCTTTCCAATCGAGCAGAAGAGAAAGCAGGGAGCCTGGAGGGCAGCCCTGGGAGCCCGCATGCCCTTGACTCTCAGCCTGACATTTAGCCTGACCAGCTTACTGTGGTATCTGCATGGAAGAAGGAGGCCCAGCCCATGTCCCACCAACCCAACAGATAACGCCAAGGTGTCCCAGATAGGCGGCCACGCAGACCCCAGCACAGAAACTGGCACTGATCCAACAAGAGGGAAGCTCTGTAGACCGGTCTTCCTTGTGGTCTCTTTAACTGGGTGGTGTTTTTCTGGACGGTGGAGAAGGGGTGGTCTCGGAGGAACTAGCCAACGGCCAGGCCTCCATCTTTGCTCCCCAGGCCAGGCTGTGCTGCAGTTCCCCTCACATGGATGTCTCAGCCTCCAGCAGCCATTCTGCTCCCCACCTGCCTCCCTGGGAAAGGATGGAGCCGAGGCTGCCAGAGGAGGGGGGAGCAGGCCTGCACGCAGGACCTGCACGGGAGACCCCAACAGGCAAAACAACAACAACGGGGAAAAAAAAAGAGGGGGGGTGTCCTTTTCCTTGGTGTTCTGAGTTGGCACCTTCACAGACAATAAACACGTCCAAAATAAATAAATAAATAAGTGGGAAGCCATCCTCTCGCAAGGATCCGGGCGGGGAGTGAAAAAGTGGAGGGGTGATGACTGCTGGAGGCTCCCACGGGTCACGGTTCTGGGCATCAAGGGCCAACCGCTCTCCTGGGGCCAACCCAGTCCCGGGTGGCTAGACAAGGGGCGTCTGCGGTGGCGGGAGGGGGACCCGGCTTCTCCTAACAGGTTGGGGCAGGGGAGGAGGACCTGGAATCAGGCACGGGGTTCTTACTTTACCGGCTGGACAAGTTGGAGAGGGAACTAGAGGGGAAGAGCCGAGGGTACAAACACGCATTCCTTACTTTCTCTGGAGGGTTGTGGCCGGGCTGGTGCTGGTACTGGTGCTGTGGCCGCCGCCGGTCCCGGGACTGGAGCTCCTGGATGCGCCACGGCTCAGTTGGCCCCGCTCCCGAGGGGGCCGGGACCCCACGCCCACCGCCGCCGCCGAATAGCCGCCTTCCTTGTCGCGGCCCGGGTGCGCCGGCCCGGCCTCCCGCCCGCCCCGCTCGCGACCCAGGGCTGGGTTGTCGTGGTGCAGGTGGCACTGGGCCACGTCGCGCTCTCGGGCTGAGTAACCGGTAGTGTCCTGGAGCGGGTAGGAGGCGTCCCGCTCCTTGTCCCGATACACCGCCTCCCGGTTCTGGTAGGCGCCTTCGCGGTTCGGGTACCCCACGTCCCGGGCCGCCTGGTGGAACTGGCTCTCCCGCAGCTCGCGGTGGTGGAACTGGGTTTCTCGCAGGTTCTGGTACTGGCTCTCGCGG